ACCTATCAGGTGTCGCCATCCCGGGGGATTTTCCTTGAATGGGGCAGCAAATTACAAGCCYGAGCTTATGGAGCCTGAATGACATCACCCCCCCAGGCACTGCACGGCACCTTTGTCTCCCAAAATGCCTGGAAAACAAGGAATTCTCTCTGTTTCAGGGCTCTGTTCTGCTGGGACACAGCTGGAYATTTGGCACCCATTCCTAATATCCCCAAAAAAGGTGAAATCCTGTCCCCCCCATCCCAAGATTCACACTGAGGCAAAACCATGGAATTTTAGTGTCACCACCTCCTAATTCACACACGTGTGACACCAATATTCCCAACACTCACCACTATCAAATACCAAAATATTCCGTTCTTTGTCCAAACTCATCCCAAATTTAACAAGAAGGCATTTTCCAATCATGAGGCGACCCTAAAATCAATTTCCAACAGGGGGAAACAGCAATCTGCATCCCAAAATACATAAAATAAAATGCTGCAAGTCCCTGGACAAGCTCAAAGGCATCCCTTTGATATAAATAAATAGAAATAAATATAAATAGATAGAAATAAATGGAAATAAATAGAAATAAATCTGAATCCTCCAAGTATTTGTTTCTAAGCTAATAATAGATGAAGTTCAGTATCCTGGGATTTTGCCCAGCAGCAGCAGGGACACCTTGGGAATTGCTCTCAATTCCACAGATGAAAATAAATTCTTTTCACACTCCTCTCCATCAGAAATTTGCCATAAAATCCCAAATTGGGAGTGGGCTGTGCAGGCAACCACCAAGGCTCTGGAGTTTTCCTGCTGGGATTTCCATGCTGCAAAAAGCTGGGGATTAGAATTATTTTCTGCTACCTGGGAATGACACACTTTGGATTCCCAGCTGGAAAACTTCTGCTGGTGCATTTCAGACAGGAAGGAAATAACGGAATTACAAAGGCGCTGGGGAAGCTGTAAAACTCTGGAGCAGAAGGAATCCATTGGAAATGGGGCTCCACATTTGCTCCACTGGAAGCAACTCAGGCTCCAGCTCCTTCCTGATCCAGCCTGATGCTGGATCTTCTTGGGATAAAACTTTGACTCCTGGATCATATTCTCCTGAATTTTAGTTCCTGCTCCMCATCATCCCCAGGGATTGCAACCTCTAGGATGGTTCCCAAAAGCTGAAGCTCACAGGAGAGGTGGAGCTCCAGGGACGGAGCATTTTTAGGGAAATTTATCCCCCGAAAAAGAGTCAAGAAAAGTCAGAAAAACAATCAAGGAAAAAGAATATAACCTATTCTACCAACATTCCAACAACCAGAGCCACACTTGGACTTCCTCAAGACTTCTCCTCAAGGAGTCCTTAAGTTCAGGAAGGAAAAATACCAATTAAAAATAGGTGTTTATAAATCCTCTCTTCCCTTCTAAATATCCAAACAAATTGTACTGAAAATTCCATTGGCAGATCAGCAGATCTGGGCACAGGCTGCCCCAAGAAGCTTCAGCTGCCCCATCCCTGGAAATGTCCCACAACAAGTTCCCAAATTCCCCATTCAGGCTCCCAAAGCCAAACACATAAAGAGAATTTTCCTTAAATATTTCAACTTTCCAGACACATTAAAGCTGAAACACAGGTCTGGAAAACCCATGGATACTCTCAGGAAATGAGAGAAAAATTTCTCCCTTTCCTCTCTCCATTCACAGCCCATGGGACCATCATTAATCTCCTCAATAAAGGGAAGGAGCATTCCAAGGGAACTGCAGGTGGAAAATCCAGCCTTTGCCTCCCATCAGCATCTCCCAGGTGGACTGGAACAGGCTGCAGGATCTAAATTTGGGTGTTTAACCACAGCACATTTGCCAGGAATTTATACCGAGGGAACCACCCTTATGGATGGTTTTCCTTAGGGAAAGGCAGAAAATAAAATCCAGATTCCCATAAAAAATCTTCAAGTCCCAAAGTGACACCAACAGGGAAGAGCSCAGGAGACTCTACAGCTCCAATGAACATCAAAAAAAAAAAATTCTTGGAAACAGCCACAACCAAAACCTGGAGTTCCAGACTGGCTGAACCTGTATCGAGTCACGTTAACAAAATCAAAGGAATGTCCCATACTCTGATCCTAAACCCCAGCCCCTCCAAACCACCCACGGACACACCAGGCCCCACCAGTGTCACCAGGATGGCTGGAAAACCATCTTCCCCCTGAATGGAGCAGAATATCCAGAAGCAGATGGATAAATGTAGTTTCCATTATAACAGGAGATGAGGGAAATAAATCCTTGGAGCTGTTGGCTCCATCCCCTCATGGAGGTATCGCTGGTCAAAGAGGCTCCTCCACCCTCGGGATGAAGCCAGGGACAATCTTGGAATCTTCTTCAAGGAAGCACCAAGAAATGAAGTGTGTCCTGCTCACAGCAGGACACAAACATCCATCAATATCCACCAGGAACAGCTTGTCCAGAGAGGCTGTGGTTGCCCCATCCCTAAAAAAGTTCAAGGTCAGGTTGGACAGGGTTTGAAGCAACCTGGGATAGATGGAAGGTGTCCATGGCAGCAGGGAACAGGAGGAGCTTTGAGGTCCCTTCCGTCCCAGACCAGTCTGGGATTCAAAGCAGGTGCAGGCCAGCATYAGGCAGCTCCATGGAGAAGCTCCATGTGGAATGTGGTGGCAGCTCCAAGCTCATGGAATTACGTTGGCCCAAATTTAAGCATCCAAAGAGTCCAGGAGATCTGGTTCTGCTGGATTCTGAAGTTCCCAGGAATTCGAGCTCTRCTTGATGGAGAGCAACCAACGAAGTAAAAGTGATCCAGAGTTTCCTTCCTACAGGAAAATTCCAGTAAAAGCCATCGGCACGGACGAGTCGTCATTCAGCTCCCAGCTCAGCAWCCACACTCTCCGGCCAGTTCAGGTGGAGCTCCAGCTCAGCAGCATCCCTGGAAGTTGCCAAGGTCAGGCTGGACAGAACTTGGAGCAACCTGGGATAGTGGAAGGTGTCCCTGCCCATGGCAAGGGGTGAAATGGGATGATCCTTAAGGCCCCTTCCCACCCAAACCATCCAGTGAGKAATTTCCAGGAAAAGCAAGGCTGAGCCTGACAATTCACCAGACTCCACTATCATCACCACGCACTGACCAACGTTCTCCAAGCAGCACAACCCCAATGTTCCAAGCTACAAAAGCAATTCATCCCAAARATGAACCCTGCACATCCCTCCTCATCCCACCCACGGCAGGTACGGAATGGGGGAAGCCACAACCATCCCACAGTCATTGCAGTTTGGCCTGAACTTCCTTCTTCCCAAACATCCAACAGATCCTCAGACATGCCTAACAACSTACAAATTATCCCAAACAATCCTTTTCTGCAAGTAAAAGGTCCATGCTGGGCAAAGCAYATGCAAATTAAGGCACATCATTAATGAGCACAACTCGGATGCGTAAGGAATACCGGGATTCGAGGTGGGGATGAGAGAACAACACCCCTAAAAATACCAGGACACCTCCTTAAAACTTTCTGAATCCCAACACRGAATGCAAGCCCCAAGGAAACCCCAAAATCAGGCCAACTAATCTTTAATTCCATTAGAAAGTCGTTAGAGAATCTGCTCTGGCTTCCTTCACCAGCCCAGTTTGGTGCCACTAGACATTTTTAGACAACAAACGGCAGCATGGGACAACCCAGATGCCTTTGGACACCTAATTCCAAAATGCCAGCCCAACCCCTGGCACCAGGATCCCTCCACACCTCCCAAACTACAAAGGTAACAACCCAAATTAGCCTAAAAGTTTTGGGATGAACAGGAGAGCCGTTTGGACCCAGAGGGTCTCTCGGGAAGGGACCACCCCAACAGGGTTAAGCTGAAGTAAATCAGGATTTACTCCAGGCTGTCCTTCCTGGGAGCCATGTCTGGCAAAACACAACCAGAATTCCCAACAYAATCCTCTGTTCCTCACTAATTCAGAAGGCTCAGTCACCGGCACCGTTTCAGCTGGAACAAGGGGAAGCTGTTCCTCAGCTGCTCCAGGTGGGCACAGGCAGAACTCGCTCATAAAAGGTTTGCTCTGCTGTCCCTGCTCAAAGAAACCACCATTTTTAACTTTGCCTCCAATCCGGCCATTGCTCGGGGGGGGTGTTCCATGTCAGGTGTCTGCTCCTTCCACCCCAGAGCCGGCAAAGTTTATGGAGCCCCCGAATCCTTCGCCAAGGAAGTCTAAAATGTAAAAATAGCGTTGAGAACCAGCGGGAAAGGGGTAGGGGGGAGAAACCCAGCAGGGACGGAGTGACTTCTCCGGAGAGGCGATAAAGCCGGAGGCCCTGGCGGGATGAGGGGGGTGGGTTGGTGAAATTCCCCMTCCAGAGGAGAACCAGAGTTCCCGGCCATTAGGCTGCTCCCCCTTCCCTGGCTCCTTCCTCCTGGCAGAAAATGGGGTCAGGGCAGGGGCCGCCCGGGGGGAGAGAATTCCAGGGGTAAAAGCAAGACGGGGATCGGTAACCAAGAAAAACAGCATTAATAATAATAATAATAAAGACGGTACTGAAAAATGGCCCCGCGGGGAGGCCGGGACACGTCCGCACGCTCCGCCCGGCTCCCCCCGCGCACCCCTGGGCAGGGACGGGACAGGGACAGGGAAAGGGACACGGGCAGGGACAGGGGGGACACAGCCCCCGAGCCGAGCCGAGCCGAGCCGCAACCCCCGGCGCGGCCGCTCCCGCCGCTCCAGCCGCCCGCTCTCCGCCCTCCCCGCGCTCCCTGCCCGCCCTCCCCGCGCCCGCCCCGGCCGCGGCCATCACGCAAGGCCGGGGATGCGCGGCCTACCCCGGGCCGGCGGGAGGACGGAGGGAAGGGGAAGGGCGGCGGGACGGGGAAAGGGAAGGGGCAAAGGAACGGGAATGGGAAGGGGAACGGGAAGGGAAAGGGGCAGCGGCCTGGCTGCCGGCGGCCGCGCGGTGCCGGCGGGCCCGAGGCCGCGGAGGGCCCGCGCTTACTCCGGCGTGGGGTGCTCCGGGTCGTAGAAATCCCCCATGGTGGGAGGGCGGGCGCGGGGCTCCGCAAGTGCCCCCTGGCCGGGGAGGCCCCGCTCGCCCCGTCGGGGCTCCTCACATGGTCCGGCGGGGCCCCCCCGCCACCCGCGCCCAGCCCGGCCCGGCCCCGCCGCGATCCGCCCCGGCCGCCGGCTCCTCCTCCCGCGGCACCGCGCAGCGCCGGGATCCCTCCGGGAGCGGCCGCCGAGCGCCGGGACGCGCCGGCATCGGGCCCGGGATGGCGCCGCCAGCAGCTGCGGCCCCGCCGGCGTTTTTCTCGGCRCGGAGCGGGATCGCTCCCGGGATCGCCGAGGCTACAGCGGGCACCGGGACCACGCCAGCATCAGCCGCRGTGCCAGCGGGATCCCACCGGGATTAGCCGCAGCACCACCGGGATTTTCTCGGGACCATATTGGGATCATTCCGGGGCTCACTGGGAGTACGCCAGAATCAGCCTGGGTGTCACTGGGATCCCACCGGGATCCAGGAAGGKGTCAGCGGGGCACACTGGCATCAGCCGGGAGTGCTGGGATCTCCTCCAGGTCAGCCACTGCTCCACCAGGATCTCCTCAGGATCACACCTGGATCACTCCCAGCATCACTGGGATCAGCCACAGGATCACTAAAATCACCCCAGGATTACYAGGACCTTACCAGGATCACCCCTGGGATCACCAGGACCACAGCAGGTTCAGTCACAGGATTCCCAGGATTTCAGTGGAATCTACAGGGCTACACCAGGACTGGCTGCAGAATCCCCAGGATCTCCTTGGGATGACTCCCGGATCCTCAGAATMCCACCAGGATCAGTTGGTTGGGAGCTCACCAGGGCCACACCCGGATGAGCTGCAGGACTGCCCAGATCACCAGGGATCACTCGTGGGAGAGGCAGGACCTTACAGGGATCACCACCATGATCACTGAGATCTCTCTGGGACCACACCAGGATCTCATGGGTGTCTCTGGATCACCAGGATCAACTGAGGGATCACCAGCAGGAATCTGGGATGAGCTGCTTCCCTGGCATCTGCCATACCCTGGAGCACCTGCAGCCCAGTGTCAGCACCCTTGGGTTTACCCCTGAGATCACCAACACCTCTGGGATTCTTGGGAATCCCAGAATTCACTGGCAGGCCAGGATCTCCTCCAGGATCAGGAGCACCCCCAGGATCACACCCTGGGATCACAGCCTGGACACCTGCACCCCTTGGCACCAGATCCCTGGGGCTGTTCAGGCCCCATTTGCCCTAAAAATCACTAAAAYCCCTCTTTTCCTTTCACAGGTCATTTCCCAACTTCCCAAACTCTGGGAGAGTTTTTCCATGGAGCCATGCCAGAGCACTTCAGGAGACACAGCTGCTTTTGGGATGCAGTAGGATCTTCCCACTCACATGGAGCACTCCAAACCACATTTACAGCTTCCAATACTGTTTTTTCTTGGGATTTCCCCASATTTGGGAACACAATATGGGCAGAAGGAATGGGGTGAGAAGCAGAGAGGAGTGGATGGAGGGAAGGACAAAGGAAGGTTTAGTTCCAGTCATGTGGAAGCATTTTCTTGGGAAATCCAGCTTGCCTTGAATTTCCAGTAGCTTTATGAGCCTCTGGAATTGGTCATTACAAGGAAAAGGTGATTTCTGGGATGTTCTCCAATGCCCTTCTAGGGGGGAGGTGCTGATATGGGGACAGAAGGAAGCTCCARCTGAACACCATGGATTCATTAATCTTCCCAGTTTTCCATGTAATGGGGGGTGGCATGTGAAAAATCTGGGATGCTTGAATTAGGGATGTTCCCACCATGGCTGGTACTGTTTTGGCAGTGGGATGTTTCTGATAGCTGTGGGGTGGTGACTTTGGGGCTTTCAGCATTCTTCCAGCTTCCCAAATAATTTTGAGGGAGCTGGCGGGGCTCCTCCTGGAGAAAAGAACCTCTTGGCTCCCTGCAATTCCCTGGGAGAAGGTTGGAGCTAGGAGGGAGGTAGGCTCTGCTCCCAGGTGATAGGACAAAAGGCAAAAGCCTCAGGAGGAGGTTTAGTTGGATATTGGGGAAATTCCTCCTGGRAAGGGCTGTCCAGCCCTGGCACAGCTGCCCAGGGCAGGGGTAGAGTCCCCATCCCTGGAGGGATTTAACAGCCCTGTGGATGTGGCACTTGGGGACATGGGGTASTGGTGGCTTTAGCACTGCTGGGGCAATGGTTGGASTTGGCCTTGGAGGGCTTTTCCAAGCAAAACCATTCCAAGATTACCCAGAAATGAATGTTTGTTCCATTGCCTTCTCCAGGCAGGTCCAACAGGCCAAGCCATGAACAAGCTCAGGAGACCTGCAACTCCAGCACCAGGAAAGAGAGAACCAGGAGCAGCCTGGGGGATGTGCACAACAACCCCTCTGCCGTGACCCTGCCTCCTGCAGAGGCTCAGGAAAACAAGTGGTGCTGTTTGWACTGCCTGGCTCATGTCCTGTCCAAACAGCGGGATCGATTCCCAAAAACTCCCTGCCTGCCCAAAGGTTGGGTGGTTCGCCGTTCCTGCTGTTTATTTGTATAAATCAATAGTGGACGCGAGCTTGAGGCACTTGGTGAGGTGGCATTCCTGAGGGAATGCTGGGATCCAGGCTATTTCATGGGCAGGAAGGACAGGGGTTTCTTCTTCCCAGCAGATGTGACCAGACCRGGCTTCCTGCGCATTTTCCGGAGGGATGCTAAGGTCCTTTTGAAGGTTTGCTGGGAACAGGGAACACAAAGGRATCATTAACCTCAGCTCAGTTCTCAGAGCACAGTTCTCACCTGTAAAAGCTTTTTTGCCTGAAAAATAAAACCGAACACCTTCCCAGGCTTTCCAAGTGGTGCTGGGGTGCTGGGAAAAGCTGGGAAAATCCCCATCACACCAGCATTGCTCTGCAGGTAGCAGATCCCAGCAGGCTCCAAGGAGGGGACAAGGAACCCTTGGAAATACTTTCTGAGCACTGAGAAGGTGGGTTTGAGATGTTTTCATGGAATCCCAGAATGGCTGCAGTTGAAAGGGGTCTTAAGGATCATCTGGGATCTCATTCCACCCTCTGCCATGGGCAGGGACACCTCCCACTGTCCCAGGGTGCTCCAAGCTGCAAYGTCCAACCTGGCCTTGGACACTGCCAGGGATCCAGGGGCAGTGACAGTTCTCTGGGAATTCCATCCCAGCCCCTCCCCACCCTCCCAGCCATGAATTCCTTCCCAATATCCCATCCCTCCCTGCCCTCTGGCACTGGGAAGCCATTCCCCGTGTCCTGTCCCTCCACCCCTTGTCCCCAGTCCCTCTCCAGCTCTCCTAGAGCCCCTTTAGGCCCTGCAAGGGGCTCTGAGCTCTCCCTGGGTCCTTCCCTTCTCCAGGCTTATCGTTCCCAACCCCCGGCCAGGTTGAACAGGGTATGGAGCACCCTKGGATGGCAGGAGGTGTTCCTGCCCATGGCAGGGGGTGATGCTGGATGATCCTTGAGGTCCTTTCCAACCCAGTCCCTTCTGGGATTGTCTCTGGGCCCAGCTGGAGTTACCTTTTGATCTATCTTCATCCTGGCCCTGTAGAAGGATACGGAGCCCGGGCCCTCCAGCAGCTTTGTCTCCTGCATCCGYTCAAACTTTTCCTGTTCGTCTTCCTCCTGCCAGGGAAAAGCATTCCCCCTTCCATGTGAAAAACACATATCTGGAGACCTGGGATGACGATCCCATTTGCTGCACCAAACACCAGTTCAGCCAGGAAAAGCCTTGGGAGTGGGAGGTTCTCCTTTCCACACCTTGGATGAGCAGGTTTGGCCAGGGCTTTGGGCAAAAATCTGCAAGGGTTGGGACTTTCCCAAAGAAAAAATGAACATTCCCAGCTCCCCCAGCCTGGCTCCGGAGCAGAGGGGCTCCAGCCCTGGGAGCAGCTCTGTGCTCTCTTCTGGGCTCTCTGCAGCAGCTCCAGGTCCTTGTGCTGTTGGCCCCAGRGCTGGAGCAGCTCTGCAGGTGGGAGCTCACCTGACGGGCAGAATTCCCCTTTTCCATCTGGSCAATATTTTTTACATGCAAGAATTCTGGGAAGTGGGAATTTGAACAGAAATGTGCTTTTCCAGGATAAGAAAAGACCCCAGGCTCCCACAGTGTGATTTCTACTGGTACTGACCATTGCCACAAGAGTTTGGCTGCAAACCTCGGATCCCACAGGCTGGGAATCAGGCTCCCAACCATCCCATGCACCTCCAGGCACTTTGCCCAATTCCTGATATTCCACAGATGCCCAGGTGCCCCAGTCACTGTTCTGATTTAGCTCTAAACAGTGAGGGGAATGTGACAGCAGGATGTGGCTCCAGATATTCCCCTTGTGCCTCACAGAGCTCCGTCTCCTCCTCCTTTTCCTCCTTTTCCTCCTTTTCCTCCTTTTCCTCCTTTTCCTCCTTTTCCTCCTTTTCCTCCTTTTCCTTCTTCTCTTCCTCCTCCTCCTTTTCTTCCTCCTCCTCCTTCCTCAGGCTGCCTCATTCCCTCAGCCCCCCACACGTGGCTCCCAAGGAGAATCAGCAGAACTCCAGGATAACTCACCAGGCGCGTGACTCTGTTTATGGGAATCATTCCAGGTCTGATGTTCCCACCGGGCTTCAGAGCTTCCTGCACATGTTTAGGGATAAGGAAGGATTCGTTGTACCAGATCTGGAATTCTGCAAAGCAAAGAAGGGCAATTAATGGCTTCATGGATTGTTTCTCCCTATAGATCAGGATTCGTGGATTGTTTCTCCCTATAGATCAGGCAGGATCTCAGTGCTCTTAAACCCTCAGACAGGAGCTCAGAACTCCAGACTTTTGAGTTTAAACAATTGGAAAAGTTAATTTAAGGAGGCCATTGGCTGTGCTGAGATGGCCAGGAGGTGGTCCCTGTCCACAAGTCCCACAGCTGCTGGAATCCCTTTGGAATGGGCAGCATGTCTGGGGCTCGGATTTCAATCCCACATGCTCAAGCACAATCACTTGCCATCCCATAATAGCCAGTGAGAACACACAGCAGGTGGGAATTATGTCCTTAYTAATCCTGGGCATTTATTTCCCGGGCACTTTCGGGAAATTTCTAGTCCAGGTGAGTCCTGGATATTTGAACACACAGCAAACGTGGAACCCAAAAATGCCAAACCCGGATTGAATGGAAACCAGTGGCAAAGTTGTGACTGGGCCTTGTTTATCCCTGGAATGATCYACGCATTTCTTCCAGTGTGGGATGCTCTGATGGATCCAAGCTGTCCCCTGGCAAACGTTGCCATGTGTGCAGCATCCAAATGTTTGGGACTCTGGAATTCRTACACAGACTGACTTCCATTAGAGAGGAAAATCTAGGGATACTGCAGGGGTAGTTTGGATCCATGGATTCCAAGGTGGAGCCCACCAGGAATTTGCAGGGATCACCCCAGGCAGAGCTGTGGCCAAGGCTGCAGCTCTGGAACCTGGAACTCAGGGGGRCAGAGGAGATATTGGGAATCCAGAGCCAAAGGCCTGTGCCAGGGCAATTCCTTAACCACCACCTCTATTAAATAAAATCAAGGATGAGATCCAAAGGCAACAGTGGGAGCACTGTTGTCAAGTTCCTTGTGGAAGGCTTTTCCCCCAGGCAGTGATGTGACCAAGGAGCAGAGGGATGTTATCTGGGAGAGAGAAAGTAGCAATTCAGGGTCAGGCCCAAAAAAATCACCTGAACCTGAATAAGRTCCAGTCTGGAAGGCAACAGGAAAAAGGACAACAGAGGATGGTCCCTATGACAAGGGCTGGAGGGCCACTGCCAGAGTGTTCCCTGTGAGGRTGGGGAGGCCCTGGCACAGGGTGCCCAGAGCAGCTGTGRCTGCCCCTGGATCCCTGGCAGTGTCCAAGGCTGGGTTGGACAGGGCTTGGAGCACCCTGGAATAGTTGGAGGTGTCCCTGCCCATGGCAGGGGATTGGAACTGGATGGGCTTTCAGGTCCCTTCCAACCRAAGCCATTTTGGAATTCTGGGATGTTTGTGAGTGCTCCAGCCTGGATTTATCCCAAATAACCTGGAGACTGCTGTGCCCTGGTGCTCCATACCTGAGATGAGCTTTTTTCGGCTCTTATCCACGAGCTTCTGGCAGTACTGGATCTCCACCTTCAGGTCCCGCAGCTCAGCAAAGCAAATCCTGTGCTCCTCCTTCAGCTTCTTCAGCCTCAAGATGAGGGCAAACTCATCCTCATCGAGGATCACCCGTCCTTCCTCGTCTGTGAATTGTCCTGGAGAGGGGGAGTAGGAAGGGAAGGTTCTGGTGAGGGTGGAGAAGAGGGGCAGGGCTCTGCAGATATGACACCCTGATGGAGGGTCTGACTTGGCTCCCAGGGAAAAAAATCCCTGGAATTGTTTAGAYGGGATATTGGGAAGGAATTGTTCCCTGGAAGGGTGGGGAGGCCCTGSCACAGGGTGCTCAGAGAAGTTGTGGCTGCCCCTGGATCCCTGGCAGTGTCCAAGGCCAGGTTCAACACTGGRGCTTGGAGCAGCCTGGGACAGTGGAAGGTGTTCCTGCCCATGGTAGGGGTGCAGTGGGAGGATCCTTAACATCCTTTCCCACCCAAGCCATTCCATGGTTCTATGACCACCCCAAGTTCCTTAAAGCCCAGCGCTCGATCTCTGTCCCAAGCTGCCTCCTCACCCTCCTGTATCCGCTTCCGCTTCTGAGCCTCCAGAGTCTCRTGGATTCTCTCCATCTCCCGCTTGCAATGGTTGATCCTCTGTATTATGAACTTGCATCTCTGCTTCCTGTCCAGGAGGATTCTCTTGTTCTCCCTGAAGATCCGCTGGATCTCCTTTCCAGGCTCTTTCTTAAACAGCTCAAAGGCCTCTTGTTGGGATGGGTGGGGCCTGAAACCAGACACAGACACGGGAGGTCACTTGGTCCTGCCCTGCAGCACGGGATCACGGAATGGTTCAGCTTGGAAAAGTCCTCCACGATCACAGAGTTCAACTGTCCCTCAGCACTGCCAGGGCCACCACTGCCCCATGTCCCCACGTGCCACATCCACAGCGCTGTTAAATCCCTCCAGGGATGGGGACTCCACCATTGCCCTGGGCAGCCCCTGCCAAGGCCTGACCACCCTTTCCATGAAGGAACATTCCCAGTATCTAATCTGAGCCTCCCCTGACCTAGCCTGAGGTCATTCCCTCTCCTCCTGTCCCTGTTCCCTGGAGCAGAGCTCAACCCCCCCGGCTGCCCCCTCCTGTCAGGGAGTCGTGCAGAGCCACAAGGTCSCCCCTGAGCCCCTTTCCCAGATCCCTCCTGGAGCTGCTCCTGGCGCTCCAGACCCTTCCCCAGCTCCTTTCCCTTCCCTGGACATGCTCCAGCCCTCCAGGTCTCTCCTGTCAGGAGGGGCCCAGAACTGGACACAGGATTTGAGGTGTGGCCTCCCCATCCTTGGGAATGGCCGTAGCTGAGATTTGATGGGATTTCAATGGGTTCCTTTGGGGTCTCTCTGTCTTGGCTGCTCCCTGACACCATTCCTGTGCCAACCCCAACACCCACCGTCCCCCAGGCTACTCCCAGAACAAAGTTCTTTACACAGACACCATATTCCTCAGGAGATGCCTCAGAATTGAGTATTCCCTGGAAAGCAGGCCTTTCATGGGTTGAACTTTCACAGAAATAATGGATATTGTTCCTCCCTATTGTTAAACAAATGCCTTTGCTCTTTCCATGCTGGATTCCCAGCACGGATTAGCCCCCTCTGCCAACCAAACCCCAGGGCTCTGAGGGTTCCACAATGCTGCTGCCATGCCTTGGAAGTCCTGCCTGTTTTCCAAGTCTGAATTCCAAGTGTCACATGTCATTCCTGACTTTTCTATGAAATGGCTTGGATGCCAAAGAGCCCCCATGAACGCCTGGTGTTATTCTAATCTGAACCACTCTAGGCAAAAGGAGGGAAAATGTCCTCAGATGCTGCTCTGTGCTGTTGATATTCCTGGAGAGCAGGATGGATTTGGGAACAGAAAGAAGAAACAAAAAATCATGGAATAATTTGGGTTAGAGGGGACCTTAAAATTCATCTCATTCCAATGCAGGTGCCCAGAAGACTCCACATTCCTCACTCCAGCCTGGGCAAAGCCAAATTCCAGCTACAGCCTTCCCTGAGTGACCTCTTAAGGGCATTTTCCAGCTCCTCCAGGACTGTGTGACGCTATTCCCGTGCCAAAATGCTGGCACAGGGCTGTAAACAACAGCCCCTGGGAAAAGTGCCACAGCTCCAGCTCCAGGAGCCAGCTCTGAGCTGCTGCAAGTGCTCTGGGATGTGCCTCCTGCAGCTGCAGCTGCAGCAGCCTGTCCTGCCAGCCTTGGGAATGGCAGAGAGACACAAATCCCACGTGGAGGGCACGGAGGGAATGGAAACGGGGTGAGGAGTTCCAGGAGTGAATTCTGCAACAGCTTCACTGCAATGCCAGGATGCGGAAACCACATCCTGGGCTGATCTCYGGCAGGGCAGCAGGAGAGGGGCACACCCAGCCCTGAAGATCTCCAAACCTCTCCTCTTTGCCTTGTGCTTGTACTCAGGGAACACAACCCAATCATTCCAGGTAAACCACCCTCTGGCAAAGGGGATCTACTCCCTCCCCAGGAAAACCTACCTGGACTTGCGGGAGCCCTTCTTTGGATGTGGGATTGAGGAGGCTGCACCGTCCTGCTCCTTTCTTCTCCCTTCCTGATCCAGATCCTTGGTGGGCCTTTTTGGCAGTGAAGAATGGTCATCCTGACCATCAGGAAGAGAGCTCCCACTTGGTTCCTTCCTGGGAGGAGGGGAAAAGATGAACCAAATTCATTGATTTGTTCATCAGAGGAAACGGGAACCAAATCACACTGTGGGTTTTGGCTTTGCTTATTTCAAAACTGGTGATCTGAGGTAGCTTCTACCAAAGTTTCCCGGGAAATATCCACTGACATGGAAGAAAATCAGCCTTGTTCCCACAAATCCTTAATCTTTCGGGTGGAGGAGCTGTCCTGGACTCTTTGGAACACAGGCCAGGCTGGAAGAGCTCTCCTGAGAAGGATCACAAGGACTACAGTCCAGCTTTGGGCACACCTGGACAAAGAATAACCCTCTCCAAAACAAATCTCCAAGGAYTTGATCCAATGCCACATCTAAACCAAGCCTGGTTCCCTGTTCCTTTCCTTCCACAAACCCCGCCAGCTTTAACTGCAGGGAACAGAATCATCATGGAGTCACGGAATGGTTTTAGTTGGAAGGGACCTTAAAGCCCATCCCATTCTACCTCCCACTGTCCCAGGCTGCTCCAAGCCCTGTCCAGCCTGGCCTTGGCCACTGCCAGGGATCCAGGGGCAGCCACAGTTTCTTTGGACACAGCCTTCCCACCTTCACAGGGAACTCCTTCCTAAGGAATAGTGTGACCGGGAGAGTGTGACTTGGAGGACAGACAGAAGAATGTTTGCCAGTTCTCCTGGTGTCTCCCTAAAAACAGACCAGCACAGCAGAGCACAGGGGTCATGTGGGCACCAAAGCCTTGGTGGTTCCTCTGCTCCCTGGCATGGGGATTTTGGGGAAATGGCAGGAAGGAATCAAACAGGGATTTACTTCTGTAAACAGCAGGATCTTTCTCTGCTCAGGACTCACTGGTTCCCCCCTCCCTGCCAAAATCTCGCTCTCTGCTCCTCTGCCAGCTCCCTCCATTCCTTCCTCCATGTGCTGCACATTCCTGCCTGACCATAGCTGGCCACTGCTCAGTCCTGCACTTGGGGTACCACAAGGATTGGGAAGAGCAGCTGGGAAGCTAGGAAAAGCCCTGTGTGTGCTGGTGACAGCAGGGGCCAGGGAACAAAGGACAGAACWAGGGGAAATGGCCTTAAGCTGTGCCAGGGGAGGGTCAGGTTGGATATTGGAGGTTCCTCCTGGAAAGGGCTGTCCAGCCCTGGCACAGATGGCCAGGGMAGGGGCAGTCCCCATCCCTGGAGGGATSTAACAGCCCTGTGGATGTGGCACTTGGGGACACAGTTAGGGGTGGCCTTGACAGGGCTGGGGAATGATTGGACTCAATAGTCTTGGATGGCTTTTCCAACCTCAACAATTCCATGATTCCATGATTAGCAGAGATGAAGGAAAGCTGCCTGGCTCCTTAACTCACATGAGGTGTTCCTCGCCCTTCCTGGCTTCCTTCTTCCCACTAGGAATGGGGGTTGCAGAAGGACTTCCAGTCCCAAGAGTYTCTCCATCCCCTTCCTCGTCCAAATCCTCATCCATATCAATGTCACTTGCCTGGAAACAGAAAGGAATAAACCATGTGGCTACACCATAGAAGCTGTACAGGCCTCATGCAGCAGCTCTTCCATCCCATGGTACAGCGTGATCTGGGATTTAAAAACTCTGTGAGAGAGTCCACAGCAGGATTTGTGGTTTATATACTTGGCTCCAGAAATTATAAGGATTAAAAGAGGGATCTCAGCAGAGGCAGGACCTCACCTTCTCCAACCCAGGGACAGACAGGTCACTTTGGAGATTGTATTGTACAGGACAAGGGGAAGAGGCTTTAAACTCAGAGGCAGAATGTTTAAATGGGATATTTGGAAGGAATTCCTGTCAGTGAGGGTGGGGAGGCCCTGGCACAGCTGCCCAGTGAAGGCTGTTCCATGCCTGGAAGTGTCCAAGGCCAGGCTGGATTTTGTTTGGAGCAACCTGGATAGTGGAAGATGTCCCTTCCCATGGAATGGGATGGTCTTTAGCATTCTTTCCATCCCAACCCATTCTGGGATTCTAATTCCCTTTTAATAAATTATTCTGTTCAGATAAAGAGCTGAATTAATYCCAATGCTGACAGAATTCCTCTTTGTTAGTGTTGCATCTCTGCTCTGGACACATTTTTTTACAAACTCTCCCCATTGACATTTCTGAGTTTGATCGCAACAGGGAAAAGCTGCATTTGAGACAATTCCCATTTTGGCAGCAAAGGAGCCAGTTCTAAGGCTGGCATTCCCATTCCTAGGAACATTACCATTGTCAGGAGCTCCTCCTCGTCACCCTCAAGCTGCAGATCAGAGCTGGGCTCAGAGTCCGACTCCGACTCRGAGTCAGACTCAGACTCGAGGCCATCTCTGCGTCTCCGCCTGTACTTGCTCCGAAGCCTGTGCTCCACCTTCTCCTCCTGTTGGCTAAGGACAAAACAGCCCTTTAGGAATCCTGTCCCCCATGACAGAGCCTGGGATCCCCACCAAAGTCAGATTCTCAAAGGAAAACACCTTTTACCTGGGTTTTTATCCCTCAAACCCCTTCCTTGCTCCTCCCGTGCTTCCCACCATAACCTTTGTCCGCTCCTCTCCTCCCCTTTTCCATTACATTCCTTTAAGGCTCTTTGATGCTGAAGATTTTTTATGGTTATTTTAATACTTTCCAGAAGCTTTAATGGTCCAGATCAAGCCCTACTAACTCTGATCAATCCCATCACCTTATTTGAACCTTTAATCCAGGTTGGATGGGGCTTGGAACACCCTGGGATAGTGGGAAGTGTCCCTGCCCATGGCAGGGGTGGAATGGGATGATCCTTAAGATTCTTCCCAACCTAAACCAGTCTGGRATTTGATGCACTTACCTTACAATCACCTTGAACTGTCTAAACACCTCCTGGATCTGCCTGACATTCACAATCTGAGGAAGAGAGGTACAAAGCCATCACTTTTGGTATTAATTCTGTGAAGAAGTTCCAAATRAAATAATTTAAAGGGTTTTAAGACCAAGGAAAAGTCTCCCAGAGCTTCCAAACCAGCAAAAACTGAATGAAAACAAAACAACAGACTTTAAAGGCAACAAGAAATKAAATTACAATTCTGTAGTGATTTTGGGGTAAAAAACAACCTTTTCAAAAGATATTTTCACTGCTCCTTTCTTGGAGGAAAATGGGGTGGGATCAGGATTTAGGTCCTTTTTTCACTACTTACATCGATTTCCTCAATGGTTCCTCGGAGGTATTCCTGCACTTGAGATCTGATTTCTCCTCTCTGGGCTGCAGTCAGAGGGGTGTAAGTTGGGATGGAACGATTTGCCTAAAAAGAAGATGGAAAACTGAGAATTAGGGAATTACAAACAGCTGAGGGAGCCTTTGAGAACAAYGGGGACAAAGCTTTGAGAAGGTCCTCTTGTGGGACAAGGAGTGATGGCTTTTAACTAAAAGCAAGGAGATTCAGACTGGATTTAARGAAGGAATTCTTGGCTGTGAGGGTGGCACAGGGTGCCCAGAGCAGCTGTGGCTGCCCCAGGATCCCTGGAAGTGTCCAAAGCCAGGTTGAATGSAGCTTGGAGCACCCTGGGATAGTGGGAGGTGTCCCTGCCATGGGACAGGGGATGGAATGGGATGATCCTTAAGGTCCTTCCAASCCAAACCATTCTTGAATTCTGTGATTCCACTGGTGTGGCAAACACTCAGCACTGCTGTGCCCATTTCTGATTGGGATTCTCATCACCTGACTTGGCAGGAGATGGGATTTGGGAGCAACCAACCAACAGAAGGGCACCAAGAGTCTGGAAAAAGCCCAAAACTCATTTCCAGTGGCTGGAGATTGAAGTCCCAACACAATCTCTTTGTGTAGGGTCTTGAGAGTTTTCCCTGTACCCCAAAGAATGGTGCTGGAAGCAGAAGGGAGGACACAACTCCATGGAACCCTGAGTTAAGAGCTCCTTACCAAGCAGTCCTGCATGATCAGCTCCTGCTTCAGGAGATGGATCTCCTCCTCCAAAGCCTTTACTGACACCTAACAGGGAAAAAAGGGTGAGCAAATGACTAAATTATATGGGARAAATGAAACCCTGCTAAAAGCAGCACAGAATTGGCTGCTGAAGAACATCCCAGCTGGATCCCAGCTCCCTCAGGGCTTGCAGCAGGGAGTTAGTGGGTCTGGAAATCATTTTGCCTGTGATCAGTTTCTACCAGGACAGTTTCCCGCCTGCAGAGTCTGCCTAAGTCATCAAAGCAGGGCCACCTGCTTTTTAATGTGATGATTTCCTGGTCTGGAATTGCAGGGACCATCAGTTCCGGGTTCTGGGATGTTATCCTGGAAGCCAAGCATTGCGCAGGGCTCACCTCTGCCCTCAAYTCAGCAGCTCTGACATTAACTGGGACAAAGGAGAGATTTTCCTGTGCTATATTTGACTGGATTTCTCCACAACTGGAATATCTTCAAGGATCCACTATTTCAAATGAATTTCCAGAAAGGTGAGTACACAAATCTTGGGATTCAGGGAGAAGTGGACACTGAGCAGCTTTGAAGTGACCTCTGGAGCACCAAAGCACAAAGTTTCCTTCCAWTTTCAGCTCCTCCAGTTTGTTTTTCACTCTGAAAGTGCACTCTAATATCCTATGATCCCTTCCTTTAAATGACTTCCTTGATTAACAAGTTTTATAATTGTGGAAAAGCTGTTTTGTTACCAGCAGCAATGGGGATAAAACTGCAGGAGAACTGGAGATGATTTCCCTGCATATCAAGGGAAAAATTCACAATAAAATCTCTCTATTAGGGGCTGAAATTTATCAGAAAAAATTGGGATATGCAGGAGAAAGAATTCCCAGGTGTCAGGGAAGATGTGACCTCCTGCATGGCTTTACCTTAGACCAGGTAACTGTAATTCAGTCCYTATAAAAATGTTAATATTGGTCTGTTTTATCATCCACCTAAAATGAGCAGCGTCAGCTTGGCTGAAGAAGGGTCATTCATTAACCTGCCTAATTTTCCTCTGGTTTGGAAATTAAATTAATGAACCTGGGAGAATTCCCCTTTCTCCAGGCCCCTCCTGTCCATACCTCCCGGTAAAAGACTCCGTTGGGGACAGGCTCTGCTGTCACCCAGTTCATCCTGGTGGCAAAGCGAAGGGAAGACAGCTGCAACACAAAGGGTTAAAGGTTTAAAGTTAATAAAAGCAATATTAACATTTTCCTAATCTGTTTCTGTTTTATTCTATCAGATCCAAGTCCAGAGAAATACAAAATCTATGAAAATACAAAATCTATGAACTGCTTGAACTGCTCCAAGKGATTCCCTCCTGTTTGCTACAGATCCAGTTTACACAGGGATTTTCACCAATTTTAWCATTTCACAGGTTAAAAAACAACCTCTTGGGAGGTTCCTCCTAATTCCTGCTCCAGCAGGGAGCCAGCTCAGCTCTGCCATGAACTGCTGATATTTCAGTGAATCCATGATGTGATGGCCCATGGAAATATATAATAATAATAATAATAATAATAATAATAATAATAATAATAATAATAATAATAATAACTCTCCAGTGAGCTTAAATCTGAGCAGCTCCTGCCAGCTCTGCTCCAGGCTCTCATCTGACAGGAGTCTGGTTTTGAGCCGTTGGGATAAAATGAGCTCTCCAAAGCTTGGGATGAATTAAGCAGGAGGTTTCTCTGCCAAATCCCTCCACAGATTGTTCCTTAAACCAAGCCGGAACAAGGCTTGGATTCTGCAGGAATCCCTTCAACTCACAGTCTCTTCCAGATGTGTAGGTTCCCCAGAGACGTTTGTCACCAGGACAGTGTTGCAGTTTCCCCCTGGGAAAAAATTATAATGAAAATAAAGCAAATAATATAATTGGGGGCAGGGGGGGAGGGGGTTGTTGTTGCTTCCTTTTCTGCAGTGTGTTACACTGTGTGCTGATTAAAATAGAGGAGAGGAATCCCTAAATGGTTTGGGATGAAAGGAACATCAAGGATCATCCAGTGCCACCCCTGCCACAGACAGGGACACCTCCMACTATCCCAGGGTGCCCCAAGTGTCCAACCTGGCCTTGGGCACTTCCAGGGATCCAGGGGCAGCCACAGCTGCTCTGGGCACCCTGTGCCAGGRTCTCTCCACCCTCACAGCCRRGAATTCCTTCCCAATATTTCACCCAAGGCTACCTGCAGCTCATAGAAGCAAAAAGGACACAGCTAGGGTRTAACTGTCCCTCTAAAGGGCATAGAAACACAGGAGCACAGAGGGACTTAAAAATAAAAGGTGAATTTTTTTCTCATGGAATGAGGATGCAGGAAGAAGATGGGAATAAAATCTCTGRGTTCCAGGTGTTTATAAAGGTTCTGTTTTTCCAGGATGCCCAGAGAAGCTGTGACTGACCCTGGATCCCTGGCAGTGTTCAAGGCCARGTTGGACAGAGCTTGGAACACCCTGGAATAGTGGGAGGTGTCCCTGYCATGGCAGGGGGTGGCACTGAATGATCCTCAAGGTCCCTTCCAACYCAAACCATTCTAGGATTCCATGATMTATTATGGTTTTAGAATTTGATATGTCCATTGAAGCGCCAGTTTTCCAGGAGCTATTTGGGGCTGTTGGAATTGCCAGCTCTTACCCAGTGAGTCCCTGAGGACATGGGTGAGTTTGCTCTGCCGGAAGGGAATGTGCTCCCGCTTGGGATCAGCCAGGGCGATGACGAGCTGCTCCAGGAACGACAGGGATTTGTTGATGTAGGCGGCTTCTACCCGGCCCAGGCCTTCAGACTGCAATGGAAAAGAGAATAAAACAGAGAATATTCCTTACCAAGGGAAAACTCCGCAGGGCTGATGTAATTTTGAGTGTGATYGACATAATGATCCACAGAACATTATGGAATCAGGGAATTGCTGMGGTTGGTAAAGGCCTCCAAGATCATKGAGTCCAACCATGCCCCAGCACTGCCAAGGCCACCACTGCCCCACATCCCCAAATGCCACATCCATATGGGTGTTACATCCCTCCAGGGATGGGGAACCAYCCCTGCCCTGAGCAGCCGTGCCAGGACTGGACAGCCCTTTCCAGGAAGGAATTTTCCCAGTATCCAATCTGACCCTCCCCCTGAAGCCATTTCGTCCTGTCCCTGTTCCCTGGGAGCAGATCCCAAACACCTCCCCACTGTCCCCTCCTGTCAGAGAGTTGTGCAGAGCCACAAGGTCCCCCCTGAGCCCCCTTTTTTCCAGGCTGAGCCCCCCCAGCTCCCTCAGCCTCTCCTGGGGCTCCAGACTCTTCTCAGCTCCATTCCCTGCCCTGTTTTTCCCACAGTGAGGGGCCCAAAGGGACCTAAGGAGCTCCCATCACTCACCCCGGTCTTGCTCAGTCTCTCAGATCCTGCCAGGTCAATTAAGGTGAGTTTGGATTTAAGGCATTTGAGATTTGTGTAATCTCTGGAACGACACTGAGGGAGAGGAGAAGAGAAACTGCACTTAGGAGCAGACAAAACCAAAAYACAGGAAAAAACAGACGGCAGAGATCCTCTTGAATCCCTAGAAAGTCCTTCCAATCCCTAGGAACAACGCTGGAGCTCTCACCTCAATGTACATGGTGAAGATGCAGTGGGATCTTGAGGAATTCTTATTGAGGGTGTGCTCTGCTATCACTCTGTTGGTCTCACCCTGCCAATGGAGAGAAAATTCCAGACTCAGCTCATGGAATTGTGGTTTCTTTGAGGACCACCCAGGCAACATCTCCATGGCTCTTTCCATTTCCCGATGACTGGAAAAGCAAAGAGTTCCCCAAACTTTGAACGGCCACAGATCTGAATCTCTGACAGGAACACAAAGGGAGGTTGGAAGGGRMTTTAAGGATCATCCCATTTCACCCTGTCATGGACAGGGACACCTCCCACTATCCCAGAGTGCTCCAAGCCCCATCCCTGGCCTTGGACACTTCCAGGGATCCAGGGGCAGCAACAGCTGCTCTGGAAAATTCCTCCCAGGCAGGAATTCCTTCCCAATATCCCATCCATCCCTGCCCTSTGGCAGTGGGAAGCCATTCCCTGTGTCCTGCCCCTCCATCCCTTGTCCTCAGTCCCATGCCAGCTCTCCTGGAGCCCCTTTAGGCACTGGAAAGTGTTCTAAGGTCTCCCTGGAGTCTTCTCCAGGCTGGACATTCCCAGCTTTTCCAGACATCATCATCTTCCTTCTACTCTTTAAAAAGAAAAAGGCAGTCCCTGCACATTCCAGAGCTGAGGACACCAGATTTTAAGGATTTTAAGATTAAAATCAAATTATTTTAAGGACACCAGATGGCTCTGGGTCAGAATACACTTCCTGCATCCCAATCCAATTATTTATCCCTGCTTTCCTCATGAACTGAATGAGCTACAAGGAAAAGATGCTGATCTAAGCAATCCACATCCCTTCAAAACCACACCCATCATGTGAACAGTCCTGCTGTGAATTCCAGCAGTGCCAGGATCATCCCAAATCATCTCCTCTTAGAGCATCTTCCAGAATCCCTGAGCCAGGGGCATTTTCCTTGAGAGATCAAGGGTTTCCAGTTGTTCTAGCCACAATAAAGAGGGATGGTTGAACCTCCTTCCACCACCTTGGCCACCCACTCCTGCTCTTCTGCCTCCTCCCTCAGCCGCCAACCACAACCACRGGATGAAACAGAATATTTGGGTTTTCTTGCCTCAAAGAGGAGATGCAGAGCCTCCTCCTCGTGGCTGACTGGGTGGATGGAGAGACCCTTGACATAAACACCCTGGGGGCCGTCCAGGACAGCCAGCTGGGAGTCCTTGATCCCTCGGCCCAGCCCTGGTGCCAGCAGGTCAAACAGGACCTCGTTGTAGATCTCCAGGTAGGAAATCCGGACGGTGACCAGGATATTGAGGAATTCTGTGGCTGCTTTGAAGATCTGCACAAACACAAAGAGTTTGTCTCTGTTCACAGGCAGGATTTTGAGCTATTCACAGTTTTTCAGAAAAGATATTGATGTAGATGTTGCTCTAAGATATAAATGGGTGTGATATAAACAGATGTAAGATATAAATAGATATAAAATGTAAATAAATGTGTTAATGTATATATAAGATATAAATGTATGTAACACAGTGATAAATATTTATATAGAGATAGATATTTATAGAGAGATAGATATTTATAGAGAGATAGTTCTGAACAGCTCCAAGTGCATCTTGGGGTGTGTGGGGCTAAATCTGAGCTGTGGTCTTGGAGAGTTCAACTTGGATTTGCATTCAATGATCTTAGAGAGTCACGGAATTCTGGAATGGTTTTGCGATGGAAGGGACCTTTAAGCCCATCSAATTCCATCCCTTCCAGAGGCAGGGACAGCTCCCACTGTCCAAAGGTGCTCCAAGCCCTGTCCAATCTGGCCTTGGACACTTCCAGRGATCCAGGGGCAGCCACAGCTTCTGTGGGCACCTTGTGCCAGGGCCTCTGTGCCTCAGAGGCATTTTTTAATGCTTTTATGATCAGTTTGAACCTGATTTCACAAAATGACAGTTTGGAAAACACCTCTTTTGAAGGCTTGATGACATTTGGGGAGCAGTGAGAACTTAAACAGGAGCTTAACAGGAACAACCTCTGAGAATGACAATAAAATTCCTTTATTTCTTTACCAATCATCCCTTGGGTAAAATGAAGGAAAAAAACACATAAAACATATTCACTGTGTGAAAACACTTCAACAAGAGCTGATAGAAGAGTTCCTTGATGTTTCTCCCACCTCCTTTTCCCCACAGATGCAGTACCTGCTGGATAGCTCTGGGGATGATCCCTCGCTGCTTGTAATGAGAGGTTGCTCCAGTCATGGTGTAGGTTTTGCCAGCCCCAGTTTGCCCATAGCACATGATGGTGCCTAAAAAATTCAAAAGCAAAAGAATAAACTGAAGAGAAAACCTCAGGCAGAGCAGCAAATGGATTCCTCCTCAAATCCAATCTCTATTTAGGATCAAAATAATAAAAACAACAAGCAATCACCATTGTAGCCCTGCAAAGCCTTGGCCACCAGTTTCTTTGCCACAGTCTCATAGACCTGTTCCTGGGAAGCGTTGTGCAGGAGCCCATCCAGCTTGAAGGACCAGTCAGTCTGAGTGTTATTCACAGCTCCTCCCCTGGGACTCTTTTGGATGGAGATAAAGATGCTCTGCAACCCAAAAAGAGAGGAAGATCCATTCAACAGCCCTGAGGATTTTCAGCAATTGAGGACCTGGGGTTATGTAGAAAAGGGAGCACAAATAACAGGGTTATTTTACTGCCTTAGATGGCTCTAGATGTCCTAAAAATATCTAGAAATGCTCTCCATTTTCTGGTGATAAATATTCTAAACAAAAAGGAAATGTGGTTAAGCTCATCTGTTTAACTTGCTGTGATTTTGTGCCTCAGGGAAATTCTTAATTAAGCAAGAGAAGGCCAAGGCAGAGGGAGGAATTTGCATAAGAGAGGATAGAAAYAGACTGTGCCAAATTGTGGTTACCACTGGGAATTCCTCATGGATCAGCCAGTCCCAGTCCTTTTGAGGGTTTTCCTGAAGATTGTAGCACAGGAAGTGTGTTTTCCATATTCTCCTTGCTGTGACAAACCCAAGCAGCAACACACAAACGAACACCCCCCAAAATGTTATCCATAGCCTCAAGGGATGGAAAAATTTTGGTTTTCCATGGGAAAAGCTGAACTCCAACTCCAAACCTTTCCCACTTCTAATTTCCTTTACTCTACCTTGTTGTCTGACCCAAGCTTGATCATATCTTGGGGAAAATTAGCTGATGGCTTGATTCGCACGAACACCTGGACTCGCTTTGGTTCTCTAAGGAGGGAGGAAAAAAAGAGTAAAAGAAGAAACTTGCATTCCTTAAACTGAAATTTACATAATTTGACAGGAAAAAGGCGAGGTAGAGGAGTTAAATTTTAAAATAAAGTGTTAGCAATTGTTCAGCCACAGTTTTTATTCCTCACTGAAAGCAACTGCGGGCAAAGAGCTCCTGAAAATTCTCTCTGGTGTTGTTCTGTTTGGAAAACTGAGGATGTGGAAAGAGAAAGGGTCTCACTGATCCTGGTTTCCTCGTGTGTACCAGGAACAGGAGCGCTGCATAACACAGGTTTTCTTCCTCTTAGCCTTGCAAAGAAAAATATTTGCAGGAATGGGAGAGAGATTTTCTTTTGTCGCACGTACCCTTTTAAAAAATAATTTAAAATCCCAATAAACTCCTGATTTTCAATTTTCTGTAGGAAATATCCACAGGCTGGAGGATCTGCTGAGTAAAACCCACAGAAAGAGGGCTCAGGGATCATCCAGCTGCTAAAGCACTGGAATCCTGGAATCCTTGGAATGTGCACATCTCCTGTTTTTCCTCAATCACTTCCTCCAGACAGTGTGTGCTCAATAATTGTGTAAGAAGCAGTGACAACTTCTAGTTTTGGACAAAATCTCTGGGATTTCTGGTCCATTCAGGATTTTTTGACCTTCTCATACTTTACCTGCTGTGCCTGCTCTAAAATAAAACATGGAGGTTTGAGCTGAACCAAAATTCGTCAGATTTAAAACGGGAATATTTGGGTGATACCTGGAGGTATCGCTCTCGGGGAGCCCGTCAGAGAGCAGTGAGGAAATGATGCTTTCCTGGTCCTCATCCTTCTCCTTCCCCTGCTCTTTCTCCTTCTTTTGGTCTTGGTCCTGATCCTGCTTCTTCTCTTGTTCCTGTTCCCAGGAGTTCACAGAGATTACAGAACCCTGCCCAAAACCCCCCAGAACCCAGTGTTGGAGCAGTTGTGAATTATTTCTTCCAAGCAAGAAAAACAGCAGAGAAATGGAAGAAGGGAAAATTTTAGGGACAACCTCCACTATGAATCAGAAAGGGAACAAATTCCAAATGAATGGAATTTTCCTTGCTGCAACAATGTCCCGGTGTGGGACTTTGGACAGGTAAGGACATGTAAGGACAAAATCCATTATTCCTGGGAGTGTTTATAAACACAAGGAGATGGGAAGGAACAGATTGTCCAGAGAAGTCGTGGCTGCCCCTGGATCCCTGGCAGTGTCCAAAGCCAAGTTGGACACAGGGGCTTGGAGCACCCTGGGACAGTAGGAGGTGTCCCTGCCCAGGGAAGGGGTGGAACTGGATGGGCTTTAAGATCCCTTTCCCCCCAAACCATTCCAGGACTCTGACTCAGCCCAGCTGGAATTACCGTTTGTTCGGTCTCTGATTTGGATGCAGAACCTTGACTCTCTTCCGGCCACTTAAGCCCCCCGTGCTCAGTTGTCTCCTGCCAGTGAAAAACAACCAAAATCCACGTGAAAAACACCTCTGGAGACACAGGGGACAGCGATCCTGTTTGCCTCATGGGACAATGATCCATACATCTCCAAAGCCTTGGGAGTGTGAGAGTCCCCTTCCCACACCTCAGGGGAGCAGATTTTGGCAGGACTTTGGGAAAAATCCATCTGCAAGGTTTGGGACTTGTCCAGAGAAGCTGTGGCTGCCCCTGGATCCCTGGAAGTGTCCAAGGCCAGGATGGATGGGACTGGGAGCAGCCTGTGATAGTGGAAGGTGTCCCTGCCTACGGCAGAGTCTGAAATTGGATGATCCTTAAGGTCCCACCCAACCAAATCACCCTGTGTTTCTCTCCAATACACCTCCCCAGGTGTGTGTGGGGTGATGCCCCGGGGAAGGGGGGCGATGCCTGGAGGGCTGACGCCATCTGTTGGGGGACACGACCCCCGATCATCCCTTGAGAAGGAGAAGGTGACTCCCTGGGTAGCCCCCCGTCCCTGTCCCACCTGCGACCCCTGCACAGAAGGGCCCGGTGTGGAGTCCGGGGTCGCCATGGCAGCGTCCACTTCCGGATGTTCTATGGCAACGGTAACTTCCGGTCTCTCCCGGAAGTGGCCCCGCATACGGCGGCCGGGCGGGGCCAGCGCGCGGCGGGGGCGAAGCGGGACGACGGCGGCACGGGAGTGGCCGGGACGATGCTGGAAGCGGCGGCGGCGGCGGACCCGGAGCTGGATCCCGAGGATCTGGTGCATTTCTCGGTGGGAGACCTGCCCAGCCGCGGCTATGGAGTGATGGGCGAGATCCGGCGGCAGGGAAAGCTCTGCGATGTGACGCTCAAGGTGCGGCCCGGCTCCCGGGGGCATGGGGGGGTCAGGGACCACCCTGATCCTCAGGGGTGCCCCGGTACTTGAGGGGACACTGAAGGGGGACCTCGACCCCTGAGGAAGTCACGGTCTCTGAGGTGGAAGCTGAGAGGGGATGCTGAGGGAACCCCCCCTGGTCCCCCTGAGAAGGAGCTGAGAGCCCCCCTGGTCCCTAAGGGGGGCTGAGGGACCCCCACAGCCTTTGACGGGGGATGAGGGTCCCCAGCCTCAGAAGGGGGAGCTGACGGACCTCAACCCCCGAGGAGGAGCAGAGGGACCCCCCAGAGGCTGTGGGACCTCAACCTCTGAAGGGGGACTTGAGCACCCCCCAGACCCCTGAGGGGGGACCCCAGCACCTTTAAGGACAGGGGGCTGAGAGACTCCCCAGTCTCTTTTCCAGAGGGAAGAAGGCAGCTGAAGTTCCCTCAGACCCCTTCGGTGGAGGATAAGGGGTTGCTGAAATCCTCTTGGGAGGGGAAAGATGGGGAGCTGAGGTCCCCCCTTCCCATGGCTTTGGCAGAGGAGAGAGACAGTGCTGAGACCCCCCCCAAAAGCCCCTCGGGGTGTCAGGGGGTCTTGGGCCCCCCTGTGGGGTCTGTGAGGGCCTGTGGATCCAGGTTCATGGACCAACCTCTACTCCAACCCGCGGGAGAAGATTCCTTTCCCTAGGAAACCTTTCCCTTACAGGAACGTCCACTTTTAAGCATCAAAAAAATCAATCCATAAGCACGGTAAATCCTCAGGACTGTGTCCCTGGCTCTGCAGGGAATGGCTGTGGGAGTGTCCTGTGCCAGGCAGGAGCTGCTGGAATCCCTCAGGATTCCAGACTCGGAGGAGGTGGTGGGGTGGGAGCCACACACAGCTCTGAGTCATTGCAGAATTAACTCTGCAGTTTAATTAAACGGGAAGGTGTTCCCAGCCTACTCACCCTGAAACCTTCCAGGGGAAGGAGCCAGCRAGGGCTGTGCCTGTCACAGAGATGGGATGTGGATGTGGGATGGAGAGTGCTCCATGGATACAGGGGTGGCTTCATCCCTGTGGAGAGGCTGAAGCCCCCAGGAAAAGAGACCAAGGGTTGTGATCCTCCTTGGAAGTGGTTCCTTCTGTAGGGTGATATTTCTGACAGTCTGTGCCGGAGCCTGAAGGAATTCTGTGGCAAAGGTGGTTGGGATGGASAGAGCTGTTTTTTTGGGATTAAACCGTGTTTTGGTGTGTCTGAGGGGGCTTTGTGTGGCAGGAGAACGTCCTGGGAGACAATAGAAGGAGGTCTGTGTTCCCAGCTTTATCTTGGATAAACTCCTGACCATTGTTTCCAAATTCCTCTGAATAATTATCCATTTCTGTGGATTTTCCATTGCAAAGTGCTGTAGAAATCCTCTTTATCCCTACAGAGCTTTCAAATATATCAGGAAAGATCACAAACATGACAGAACRGTTTGGGGTGGAAGGAACCTTATGGAACATCCARTGCCACCCCSTGCCATGGCAGGGACACCTCCCACTGTCCCAGGCTGCTCCAAGCCCTGTCCAGCCTGGCCTTGGACACTTYCAGGGATCCAGCAGCAGCCACAACAACTCTGGGCACCCTGTGCCAGGGCCTCAGCATCATCACAGGGTACAATTCCTTCCCAATATCCCAARGAGAGATTTCAGCAGTGCCTGGCACACTGTCAATCCTCTGTCCATGTTGGTTCAAACATTCCAGCTCTCCGTCCTACACCCACAGCTTGGAATTCCAAGTATTTCATTTGCTTAATATCCCACCTTGTGCTGCTTCTGCCTCTGGACATCCCTTTTCGCAGTGCCCATGTGTCTCATGATGATGGAATTAGTGCAGCCAAGCCTTCCCTCCCCATTCTCAGGAACAAGCTCTCTGTTCCAGCTGTTGGATCTTTAAGCCGGAATTTTTCTCAGCTCGAAGTTGGAGGTGGATTTGAATCACTGAGGCACCCCAAACTCAGCCAGCACAAAATGTTTCTGCCCAGACCTGGCTCAAGAACGTTTTCCATCTGTAAATCCAGGGTGGATTTCCAGCAGGGAGAGAGTTTGAATGATTCTTAATTTCTCCCAAAATTAAGGGAGGAACATAAAGGCCC